TTTAATTAAAAGAACTAAAAAAATGGGAGAAACTTGAAAAAAATAATTAATTTTTTAATTTTTTTTTGGCCAACACGCCGGGTTGGCTATTGCAAAAAAAAAAAGCAACCCGCCAACCATATAGCAACCCGGCCCGCCCGGGGGTTGCTGGCAGGTTGGGTTCAACCCGGCCCTCCATATTGGCGGTCCGGGTTGAACCCTCTTCATTGTGGGCCGGGTTAGGGTTGACCCGCCTAACCCGGCCCATTTGTTCCACCTCTAGGCAGGTTTACTTTAATAGGTGGTTTCGTTTAAGTAACGCGAGTTTTTTGGGAATATTAGATTACTTCAAAATTATATTATTTTAAAGATTATTGACAAATTTTAAAAAAATATTTTTGATTAATTAGTGAGTATGTTAATTAATATATTTGATTAAGAGAAATAAATTGATGAGTATGTTATTTAAATTATTTAATTGTCTTTTAATTAAATATTATTATTATATTATTTTTTAATATTAATTATTATAACCCCCTGCATTTAAAAACTTAGCAAAAACAATCCCATAATAAAAGTTTGAAAAATCAACAAAGTACTCCCACCAACCCAGCCACTGTTGGCCACTTGCACCCGGCAATCTAACGGTGCACGAAAGGCAGGAAATGGCCTCCGTGCGCCGTATGGCCATTTCCGGCCAGACATGACAGATCTGGCTATCAATGGCCAGATCGATGATGGATTTGGTCATCAACGACCATTGACGGCCATAGACGTGACCGTTAACGGTCAGATCTTGCACGATCTGGCCATTTTCGGCCAGATATCTGATTGGAAATGGCCATATTAGCGCATGACAACCATTTTTGGCCTTTCGTGCGTTGTTCCGATGGTGACAACGACTGGCCAGGCGGTGGTTGTCGGTGGCAAGTGGGTGGGGGTGGTGGCTTGGGTGGGCTGCAATTTGTTTTGAATTCAAGGGTAAATTTTTCTAAAAAGTTAATTAATTGAGGTGAAATAGTAAAAGTCATGTTCATATAAATGACTTTAAAAATAAGGGTCTTATTGTCCTAAAATTTTATTAATAAAGGATAGAGTTGTAATAAAAAAAATTATCCTAATAATTTTAGAATACCCAATAAAACTGAGGTAATCAGATTACCTCAAATATTACCAACAATAATTACTATTGGTATTTGAATATTACCGAAATCTTATATTACTTGACAACTAAACGTGGTAATAAAGTAATATAAGATGACATAACTCCAGTAATTCACATTACCCCCAACCAAACGCCCCTAAGTCTTTTTTAAACAAATTAAATTGTAATTATCCATTTGTCTCAAATATTCACATTTTAAATTTCCTTGAAAAAAAAATCAAAATTTTATTTGATCCAAAAAATAATTGGGCCTATTTTTGAAACATTTTGTTGATGTGGAGAAGATCTATCCTTTGTCGAGTATCTATCTGTCAGTGTCCATTGGATTAGCCCAAGTACCCACCGGCCCATAAAGCCCATCTTTATTTATCAGATTTTGGCACAACGTGACGCAATTAAATCTCATTATGGAGGACCTAATGGTCTTAATCCGTAAAACCCAAAATTTAATTTTAACCTTGATTAATTTAGAAACAACGTATAAAAAGGGTTTCCTTTCGAAACAAAGATTCGTGGTCCTAATCCTAATTAGGGTTTATAAGTTTAAAACCTTTCATCACTGATCGTTAAAATTTTCCCGCGAAAGATGGATCCTGATGGTGTCCTCTTACTCCCTTTCCTCGATCTCTTTGCAATAAGGAGAAATATGTTTATTCAATACTTATTTTAGTTGCTTTTTTGTTGGTTTAAATTCAGGACAACGAACCCCAGCCAGCGCATCGGCAGTGATGGCTTCACTTCTAAGCAAGAGAGCCAAGCTTCTCGAAGAGCTACGTAACATTGAACGACAGGTGAATCCATTATTTTCTCTTGTGGTTTTCTACATGTATTTGAGTTGGGTATTTCTGTATTAAGTTTTTCGAGACTGCCTTATAGATTATGGGGTTTTAAAATGAGATTGTGGGTTTACTCAAGTTGGAGAAGTGTTGCATTGTAGAAGTATAAAAAGAAAAGGGTTGTTAAAGTGATTGGCTAACCTCTAAGACTGTTCGGTTCCTTCTTGAATGCTATTGGTCCTGTTGGCAAACTAAGGTAGGCTTGATTTAATCTTGGAAGTCCAATTGTGATGCTAAATTTTATGGCATATAGATACCGTGTATGAGGTAAAAGTTCTATTGAAAAAAATCATTACTCAATGCTGATCTCTTCCTTGAAGCTGATCTTAAGAAGGATATTTGGTTATAATTTAACACAAGTGCTTTCACTTATCAGTTCAAGAGTTTTACCTTGCTCTAGAAAATAGACCTTTGAAAGTTCTACTAATCATAATATCCCTGACTGGCAACTTGATACATGTTACTAGCAATAGCTTTTTCTAGCATTAGGTTCTAGACACATAAGTAGTTCACTAGTAATGTTTTATTAATTTATGAATCATCAGCTATGCTGAAAACCTCATGCTTAAGGTGTGTTCCGAGTATGTACACAAGTCTTTTGAAGGGCTCCTATTCTTATCTAAGAATTTTCCTTGATGATACTGATTTTGGTTTTCTCACCACCCTACTGAGTTTGATATATATTTTTTTTTTCTTTTCAGGTCTATGATATGGAGACAAGTTATTTACAAGATCCAAGCCAATGTGGCAATGTATTGAAAGGTTTTGAAGGGTTCTTATCTTCATCTAAGAACACTGCACTGTATGGAGTGGCCATTATATACTTTCTCTTTCATTTCTTCTACTTGAAAAGAATAAATTGTCCTG